TCTCTGGACCAACGGCTCAGCCTGCCCCCTCAAACCTGGTAACAATCTCTGACCACCCGTGTGTGACCCTGGATTTGTTGTTGACATTGAGTAAACCCCACAGCAGCATTTCCTCCACTAACAACACCACCCGGAACCAAAACACCGTGGCTGTTGTTTCAACCCGGACCCAGTCCCTCCTGAGAAGGTTGGTGTATTATATTATATTATTTAATAATATAAACTTGTTGTGCCAACCTAACTTCCCATCTCTGTGTGCAGACCTGCTGCTGCCGGAATCCCGTTCTCGACCTCCAATTGCAAATTCTAACAATAAACTTGTTATACCTTTATCTGTGTTTGGAACTACACCCTTTAGGATCCATGCAGATCATCTGGCGCCATCATCTGGTCAAAACATTTATTTCAACAACAAAATTAACTTCTATCAGCTCAGATGTTCCTGTTTTATTTTTTTAAGAAAATACATTTTTGTTGTTTATTATATCCATGTTTCAATTGTTTTGTATTTATACAGCCTGGTTGTTGTTAAAAGTCAGATTATTGTTGATTCAGATTGAGTCCTGGTTCTACAGGATCATCTACCATGTTTCAGAGGTTTCAGCTCCAGCACACCTGTTTTAAAATATCAAGTGATCAACAGACTTCTGCAGAACTTGAAGCAGTGATTCAGTCACTGAATCAGGAACAGGAAAACCTCTGAAACAAGCCGGATGGCCCTTAAGGACCAAGGTTGCACACCGAAGATCTAAAACTAGTGATGATTAAACAGCTTTATCTTTCAGCATATGTTTTATTTAAACTGCTACTATCTGTCTAAATGTGAATTAACAAACAGGGTTTATGTTTCAGAAAAATAATAATAAAGTAATGAATAATGTTTTATTAGAGCTACTTTTAACATCTCAGTAACTTATGACAAAAAAAATCCTGAAAATGTTTAAATGTTTTGAAAAAAGACAAAGTTTTCTCCTTTTTCGAACAAACATACTTTAAAACATTTTGGACAAATTAGAATGATCTAATTAATATAGAAAATCAACATTAAAAAGGAATTTAAAAACTATAAATCCTTAAAAATGTGTAATATTTACACTCAGTGTTTTGGATCATTCAGTCATGACTCAATAAAAGACTCAAACTTTTGAATGGTCCAAACTTTTAGCAGTTAAATCAGTTCATGTGATTATCAGCTAAACTTTGGTTATTTTGCTCATTTCAACTGAATTCACTCTCATAAAAATACAAAATAAGTTAAATCTTTATTAGAAAATATTATGTCTTACTATTTCAATTCAGACAGGAAGTTTGAATCTGGAGGTTCTGTGGTCCACTTGGTTCCTCAGCAGATTAAGCCCTCATGTGTAAAACTGACAGTAAGGATGAAGTGGGGCACAGATCTGGACTGGGGCACGCAGCTGACAGAGCAGAGGGCTGAATGTGAGAGGTGTGGGGTTCTGGTCCCTCCCCTGCAGACACTCCTTCTTCCATTTGGTGCGCCTGTTCTGGAACCAGATCTTGACCTGGGTTTCGGACAGGCGCAGGGTTGAGGCGATGGCGTGGCGCTCCAGCACCGACAGGTAGCGGCACCTCTGGAAGCTGCGCTCCAGAACCTGCAGCTGCTCCAGGGTGAAGGCAGTGCGGATCCGACGACCTTTGACCCCGGAGCTGTGATCCTTTGAGCCGCGCTCCCCTGCTGCCGGACGCTGATCCTGGTCCTTCCTGAGAAGATGAGCACCTGAGGAGGAGGGGAAGTCATGAGCATCAAACCACCAGAATGTGTCCATTCCAGTGTTGTATAAAGTACCACAAAGTAATACATGAGTAAAAGTACAAGTATCTTACAAAAAAATTACTTTGCTGAAAGTTAAAGTTTCCTTTAGGAATATTACTTGAGTAAAAGTCTTAAAGTATCTGAAATTTTTTGTACTTAAGTATTAAAAGTAAAAGTATTGATTTAGAATGAGCAGTTAGATTTTCTGTAAGGACATTTATTAGGAGGTGACCTCCCCCAAAAAATGCAGAAATGACTGTTGTATTAAAATAATTAATTTATGTTAAATTTAGGATGCACTAGTCCAGCTGTTTCAGTTTATATACATATATCAAGGCTGCACAAAGCTTTTACTCAAAACGAAAATCTATCTGAGGGCTGTGGCCAAATGTAATAATATAATTCATGAAATACAAATACTTCTTAAGTAAAGTCCTTTTATTTTAATGATTATGTCCTGCTGGAGTCTGACATGAATTGTTTGTGTACAAACTAATACGTATCAGATTATTATACTTCTCATTAAACCACAGTTAAAATCACTCTATCTAGGAGGCACARTTTATATGGATAGTATTTATTTTTTAAATAACAAGCTGGAATAAAAACAAGCAAAAATGAAATAAAAGTAACAACTTTCTACTTCTTGCCTTTTTAAAAATGTAAGGAGTAGAAAGTACAGATAATTGTGTGAAAATTTGAGAAGTAGAAGTAAAAAGTAGGCTGAAAAATAATTACTCAAATAAAGTACAGATACCCAAAAATTCTACTTAAGTACATTAAAGAAGTATTTGTACTTAGTTACTTTACAGCTCTGGTCTATTCTGGATGTGAAGTCTCACCTGGAGCTGCTGCATCTTCAGCACAGATTCGTTTCCCTCTAGTTGGATTTAAGATGTCGTCCACAGAAAACGGTGTTGTGTGGGTCCGTGGCAGTTTGGCTGCAGCTGGCTGCATGTTGCTTCAGTGTGTCTGCAGGCTGAGCCGGGCCTCGGCTTATATTCCCTCAGCTCTCTTTCACATGTACATGCTCTTCAGAGCGGGGTCATCCGTCTTCAGGGAACAATTGGCTCCTTGGGCCTGAGCGACACGAGCTTTGAGCGAGTCATTTATTACCAGGCATCTGGTCCAAATCTGCCTCTTTCTCTCAATTCATGTTGTCTTTTGTCAATCAGCTTGTAATTATTTGCAAATAGGACACATGAACACTGTTTGTGATGCTAATATATCAACTCATCAAAGGGAAAGTTGGAGCCTTTTACTCTCTTCTGTCCCGACTCCCAAAGGACCATTTCTGGTTTAATTAGGAGCCCCAGACAACTTTATGAGAGCCGTTGACCATCTGATCATTCTCGACACATTTATAATTTTATAGATCAAACCTTTGTAATCAAAAGATAGGAAAGTAATCATGTCTGAGCAGCAAGAGCTCCTTCGAAAATGATTTTCAGTTTTTTTTACTGTAATTACACTGCAAAAACTGTTCATCTTACCAAGTTTTAAAATCTTATATCAGCCAAAAAGTCTTTTTGATCTTGTTTTGAGACTGATTTACTAAACAAGAACTGGTTGTGTAAGAATAATAATCTTGTTTTCAGAATGTGTAAGAT